CAAAAACTTATTGGCCTTGAATATGATAATATCTAGACTTGATGAAATTAAGTATTTATCGCAGAAAAAATTCTTATTGGCCTTAAATATGATAATATCTGGGCAGTAAAGTAGACTTATAATCTTTCCTATTTTTCTATTATCTAGAAGTGATGATTATGAAAGGCATTTTCCATTCACAGTGAGCAGCACCATACAGAAATGGTTAACATAACGGGTTATAAAGTGTGACCTAAAATGGCAGGTCGTTTCTGGTGAAATAATTTGGGCAAATATTGGCGCCAATCGTCTGGCCTTTTTTATTCACTATATGACTTAGGTTCAAGATCCCAGTACAGCAAGGGTGAAAGAACGATGTTGGGTGTGGATAAGGTGGACGTGAACTCAGCGAATTTTTCTTACGTTCAATGAACAGTGAATCGCCAGGCCTTATAATAAGTAAAGGACCGTCTAAAGTACATCTAAGCTTTTAGTTACATTACATCTAGGCCTATAATACAGTCTAAGCTTGATATCTTGTTGTCATTTGCTAATGTCTGAGTCACAGTCAATGTTATTTTGTCTACCAGGAGTTAGAACATGTACACATACTGATCCTTGATTATGCTAGCATCATCGACTTGGTGACTCCGTTGCCACAGGCTAGCTTTCTAGAAACAACAAACAAAAATTGTACAGGATTCACGTCCGGCCATTGTCGCCAGTCGTAGGTCTTACTACTGCACATCAAGTTGTCAGTGCACTTTGTACCCCCTCCCCCACCGTCCACTGTCAGTGCGGTATGATGACCTACCCTTGATTATGATAGCATGTCATCGACTTGCAAACTTGCTTTTTAGTGACAGCAAACAGAAATTCTACAGGGTTCACGCCAGGCCATTGTCACTAGTCGTAGGTCAGTGCTCTCAGTTTGCCCCCCTCCCCACCCCACCGTCCACTGTCAGCACGCTATGATGACATACCACCTGCTCAGCACCTTTCTCACCCCAATAAGGGGATATAAACGAGAGTTCAGGAGGTCGTTCTGGTAACACGGGGTCTGCGCATGGTCCGTGTCTCCGTTGGCGCCGTCCCGGTAATCTCCAACGACTGGAAAGGACGAAGTGTTGCTGTTAAAGTCCTGATGTATTAACGGATATGTGCACACTGATGTATTAGCTCAGAACTCAGAAAAAGAAGGGAAGTCAACTGAAAACATCCTTACGCGCGCCTGCCCTATACATGTAAATAGCAAGCATGGGGTGAGGGTGCCTATGCCACCGAAACACCGAAAAAGTGATACCGAAAGCACGATATGTTAGTAGTAGGATCAAACAAAGCAAACACGAAAGAAGGCAAACTTGAATGTGCAAACGCAAAAGCCGAAAGGCCTAAACTTCCTCTGACGTGCGTTGATAACTTCGTCTGACGTGCAGTGATAACTTCATCTGACGTGCAGAAAAACTCCATCTGACGTGCAGTGATAACTTCATCTGACGTACAGTGATAACTTCATCTGACGTACAGTGATAACTTTCATCTTACGTGTCAGTGATAAATTTATCTGACGTGCAGTGATAACTCCATCTGACGTGCAGTGATACTTATCTGACGTGCAGTGATAACTCCATCTGACGTGCAGTGATAACTTTATCTGACGTGCAGTGATAACTCCATCTGACGTACATTGATAACTCCATCTGATAACGTGGATAGGCTACTGGGACATCGATTTTTGCCAGAACTGATATAACGTAGTTAACCATCATTGTGACACACAAAGTTCTAACAACAACAGCCACCCATCTATCCATCACCAGTTACTTTAGCCAGACCGAACTTTATTATCATAAGTACATTGAGCCATTGAAATGGGCTCGCAAGTTTCATAACAAAACGAATTTCTTATAAACTGACAGTGAACACGTACTCACGACAGTAAGATATCACAATCAGCAGTTAACTGACGTGAAGCGAACTGAACAGCAGAAAAATGAAAGAAATTCACGTTCCCCTTAATATGTCTGTGACAATCCACCGCCTGAGGCTAAGATCTAAAGCGAGCATATCCAGTCGTGTGGAGGTTTTATGGTCGTCATAAATGTCTTTGACTATCTCCTGATAGTTGGCGGTAAATAAGACTAAACCAGCGAATAAATGAGATAGCAGTCGCTATTTATGACTGGCGCTGTACTCTCTATCGATTTGGCCGTGCGTTTTAGCTGTGTGCAGTGAATCATCTTTTATGTCCCGGGGTTCTAAGCTTTGGATGCCTGTACTTTCTTTCGATAACAACAAGATTTGACAGTGCTTGTTGTTATCGAAAGAAAGTCTGACGATTATGCACTGCATTGCTGTAGATACACATGGGGGCCAAATGAATAACTGTTGAAAACTCGATTCGTCACAAGGAATTTTAAACATCTCTTGATTATAGTGTTAATATAGGATAGTATTCAACTTTGGTGTCTTTTAATTCTATTGAATACATCCGTGATCTTAAATGTAAAAATGAAAAGCTACTTTCAGTTATATGATATAAGTAATATATAATTCCCACGGAGCAATGTTTTTCATCAGTACGACATACATATCACAATAATACTTTGTGTGCGGTTAAAATATAGATTGTTGGTTGAAAATTACCAGCGAAAGCTCCTCTACATTGCACAGCTGTTGTTCCTTTTAAAGTCACTTGGTGGCGCTGTCAAAACGCCGAAGCACCCCGTGTTAGGCTTCGTGCCATTGGCCACTTAAAATCAGGTGCGACATAAGGTGGGAAAGACAGAATTGGCGTGTTTAAAGCGACACCGTTCGATCATAAAAGTATGTGCAACTATTCTAACACATAGGAAGGTTTTACAGTCTACGTCGTTATCCACGTTTGGACTGGGTGTACTAAATCTCATAGCCAAATGTTTTCCCTCACTTTAGAGGCAGAGTTATTAGATTGTCACAAATGTCATTTGATAATTTTATCGTTCTCTCCAAGCTGGTGCATGTTAATTTGGTGGTTCTGTGCTTTCTCATATCAAATGGTTGTGCCACTCTGTATAGTTTCTGGTTTGGGATTTGTTTGGTGTTCAATCTGCGTTTGTAAGCCACTACTATATCTGGTATTTAGCTTGCCAGATATATATATATATCTGCCTTAATATATCCGTCTATATTTACATGTACACTCACCTCTGCTTAATATATCCATCTGTCCTTAACACGTACACCTAAATACACACACACTATTCTAGTGGTTTCCTATTGGAGTAGGGTAAGTGTGATAAATTATAGAACATGATTCGGAAGTTATATCATATACTGTAAGTCATGACCGATGTAAAATATGATGGGATTTGTTTGGTGTTCAATCTGCGTTAGTAAGCCACTACTATATCTGGTATTTAGCTTTAGCCTTAATATATCCGTCTATATTTACATGTACACTCACCTCTGCTTAATATATCCATCTGCCCTTAACACGTACACCTAAATACACACACACTATTCTAGTGGTTTCCTGTTGGAGGGGGGTAAGTGTGATAAATTATAGAACATGATTCGGAAGTTAATCATATACTGTAAGTCATGACCGATGTAAGGTATGATGCGTGTCCGTGACATTGTGGACCTCAAGGGATTGCTCTGACATTTTTGTACAAATTTGGGCCAATCCATCTTTCTTCTAAAAAGCAAATAACAGTGGAATGGTTTTAGGGAATATATATTGGGTGGGGGATTCATGCTCATATATATAGTAAAATCATTCTCTATCTGTTATCTACATGAGTCGTTTTAATTCAAGTTGAGCTGAAAACAAGAAAGCTTAGAAGGCATACGCAAACAAGTATTTGATATAATCTTTTCATTTCATTAATTTTCAATCCCGCAAAGAATAGTAATGATCACGTTATCACCGTTCATGTCGGGTATAATTGACAGAGATAAATCATTTAAGGGTACGGCACACGGCGACAGGAAATTACCGCCGATCCTGACATAGCGATTAACGGGCGTGTTCGACTGTGCGTGGCACAGGCAGCTGTCATATCCATCAGCTTTCCGGGAAGCGAGCGGGCCCTATACTCACTTCCAGGAAGAAAATGGTGGGCCTCCGCTTGGTCCTTGCCCTGTGCGTTTTGTATGCCGTGGAACCGGCTGAGCTTACAGACACAGACACCAGAGGTGAGCCATACAATTGGATTTCTTACACGTATTTCCGGAGGCCGCCATAACATTATTTGTATCGATTGTCATTTAAGAACTGGATCAAATCGAAACCAGACATTTTACTGGTGCTAAGTAACTCGAATGTCCGATACATCCTTTTCCTTCTACGTGACTAAAGTATTTGTTATGGATGTCGTTTCTTTCAATGACAACAGTAGTATAACGACGCTGTTATCTTCTATATCGTACTCAATGTTAGTATGATCTATATGGCAGAAACACCGGTGGTGGCCCCTTTTACTGATTGCTATTACGTGATGCCAAATTTGGAATCCCAATCAATGAAACAATCAATACCTTTGCCTTGCCGCGTAATTAAAGGTATATTTTATTCACATTAAGACCCATGGACAAAAAGATACATGGTTAGAACGATTAGAATCATCAGAGATAGCATCAATGATCACAATCTGCCGAGCTTTCATGTGGTCTCAGCTTGTCTGCTGTGCGATTGGGAAACATTGGGCATCTGACAAAATATAGTCAATGGTAGCCATAAGGAATGGCTGTTAGTCGTTCGGGAGTAATATATGGCTCTTATGGATTTTGCCCAAAGACAAGATTGAGGAAGGAAACGTTACGATCACTCCAGGATTATTTTACTACCTTCTCCCGGCGCCAGCCTGGCGAGGTTGTTACACACACGATAAATTATTTCGGCCACTCTGATGGCCACACCGCTGATGAATAGTTAGACCAGATAAGCTTTTAGTTCCAGGACAAGGCGACCTTGGGTTCTACTGATTAAGGTCGACTGAAACGTGAGCTGTGTAGGAAATATGTATTTGTTATGACCGAGGTACGTGAGGCAGAGGGGGGGGGGGTATCGTGTCCCAGTAACTGGCTTCATAAAGGGGTACGCTGGGGGTAGCTATATTGCACGGACTTATGTGATATCGATGTTTCGCAGTGCAAAATTAACTTCGTAGCCTGCCTGAATAATCCTTCATGCTTTACCGGGAAATATAGAAATTATTCATATACAAAGCACCGTCCGCGTCAATGACGTCACACTCAGGCGACTGTTGCATTCCATGCATTATCAAGTCAAAATACATGCCCGGGGGTTAATTGCAAATGCGAGCAACATGCATGAAAAAGAGAATACAATGATATAAGGGACTACGTCTACATTCTACAACATATACGGTACTAGTTTTGTAATTATTATACAGATGACGTGGCTGAAGACGATGGAATCCAAGTCCTGGAGCAAGTCGTGCACTACCTGAAGCCGAAAAGTCGAAGGTCAATCGAAGAGGTAAGAAGTATATCTGCCAAAGTTACAGCATATTTGAGAGGAACGTAATGACAGGTGTACTTTTTAATAAAACGTTACGTTATCTAGTAGAACTACGGAAGACGAGATCTATAACTTTACCGGGTTGATGAAGAGACAGAGTGTGTCTCGAAAGCTTTCCAGAGTAGCGAACTCTTTTTGTTGTGTGTATGTTTTAAAAGATTTGTTAAACGTCCCCTAGTACACTCGTCAAAAACATCGCAAAAGACGTTCTAGATCATGTGCTGATCATGCATGTTTCTCCTTTGCCTTACTACAGGAGACCAGTGACAGATGCACGGCGAGCGGCTCCTACTGTTCCTGGTGCCGGTGTAAGTGTTGTAGCGGGAGATGTCTGGAGGACAACACGTAAGTAGATCTGGTATTTCATATAAACTCTACAACAAATAATGTTGGGGTCGTGTGGCGTAGCGGCAGAGTGCTCGACTCGGAATCAAGAGGTTCCGGGTTCGAGTCCTGACATGCCACCGATCTTGTGCCCTTGGGAAAGGCAATTTCTTCACACGACTTTCCTCACTTCGTTCAGGTGAAAATGAGTATTGTATTGTATTGTCCGCTGTGTTGGTGGCGGCATTAATATAAGTTGAAAAAACTTGAGTGTGCCGTCACCACGTATTGTGATTAGATGTTGGAATATAAAAAAATAGTGTGTCTTGTTGAAAGTTAAAACTTTTGTTCCAACACAAAGAACGGTTCTCACCTACATGTAGAGCTTTCGACCGGTCACTCTGGTCTTCCTCAGTAGACTGACCCAGTGAGACTTGTCACGTGGCTTTGACCCAGTGTTCACATCACACTTCAGAGAAGCCACGTGACAAGTCTCACTGGTTCACTCTACTGAGGAAGGCCAGAGTGACTGGTACCGGTCGAAAGACTCTAGATGAAAAACATTCATTGTGTTGGACTAAAAACTTTTAAATCTAACTATGAACACTGATGAACTTACATGATAGATAAGTTAGTGCTCAGACATTGCTGACATGAAAAAAGTCGGCCTGTGAACAGGTTTAAATCTGCAGTTGCGGTTTATTTGAAAGTTGATGTTCATTTATCGACCGCTATTGTTACAGGATGGGCCTGGGGTTTGCCAGCAGGTGCGTGCCGTGGACTCAGTGTTTGGAGCAGGCGGCCAGAAACGCAAACATCTACTGCAGACGGACAAGACTGTAACAGAACATGCTCTCCTATGACAGTACGTGTGGTGACCACTGATGTCTTCCTGCATATGCAATACACTGGCCAGAAATCGAAAGTAACGGTCGCTCGTTAAACGTAGCCTTAGATATGTTCCCATCAGGCGTAAAATGGAACTCATTAGTGAAGCAGCGACCCCTGGCGGAATTACACAAAACCGCCATGGAACACAAAGTTCTGTCCGACTTAAAAGCTCTCCCACCATATCGACTTGCTAGTGCCAACAAGCTCCACTGTGCTCTGACTATGATTTAGACATAGTACCTGACATTCAGGCCATTATAATTTTGAAGATGAAAGTTTAACAGTGGAGAAATATGTGACTTCTGGTCATACTGAAATTAGAATGTATTGAACTTATAGTGCAATCGTCATCATTTCAGCAATAGTATCAGGTACAACGATGACAAATTCAGATAGAAAGATGATTTCACTGTCTTCGTGACTTAGAGATTTATTCATCTCGAATAGCAATAGTACCAAATATAATGATGTCTGTTGAACAAGTCAGACTACGAAATCTTAGAGATTTATCACCCTGTGTGAGGGACAATGGTGTGAACTGGTTCTAAGAGTTATTTGACCAAGCAAGAAATGAGAATAAAATGACCTAGCTATAGTTGATATGCCATTATAGTTGTCTTCATTATAGCTGACTTGTAGAAATCAATTGTTTAACACATGCTTTATGTTTTTTCAGTCTTAAGCGGAAAAAGAAACTTCACACGTCTCAAACATGATTATAGGAATATCTCTTAAAGGCCAACTGTCATGACTTTACTATATAATTTACTATGTCATTTTGGCCTGGTGTGTAGCCTTACAATTTGATTAACTAAGTTCATAATAATTGCAACAACTTGAGCTCTGACAGTATTGGGGGCTTAAAATAACAGTCCGCGTTCTACCTTTAGACTTAGAATATCCAGGCAACGTACCGTAGTTAGAGTTTGTCTAGATAAGGTTCCATGTTTAGGTCGTGTCTCTCCAGACTTGAAACAGTTTCCTCTGCTCGCTAACTAACGTCACTACTCCTGACAGATCCTCTGTCCCGTCGGGCAGCCGCAGGTATCGACATTTATTGATATTTTTCCAGTATTCTTCCGGGGCCAAAATTTCCGTCTTCTCGTTCCTGTCTATGTTTCTGAAGCGAAGTCTCCGCTTACGTCTGAGTTCTCTTTCTCTTCGCCTCTCTTCCTCGTCTGATCCCTCGCCGGATTTTTCGTCGAACTGTCCGGACGCGATTTGCTCCAGAATGTTGTCGTCTGAGTCGTCGTGTAACATGGCGTCCAGGCGCTTCAGAAACTCGTCTTTTTTCTGCAGGAGGCCGGCACTGGCGACTCGGCTCCGCTCTAACATTCTTTTGCGGTTATCCTCAAATTTTTGCTTCCGTTCCCGGTCTTCTTCCATTGCCAGCTCGACCATGGGTCCGGACAGGTACTTTGTCTTTCCTTCGGCCGTGGCTCGGAGCTTGGCGGGCGCCGAAGCCAGCTCAGGCCGCGTGGCTTGAGTGAGCTCGGCGGGGGAAACCGCGGCGCTGACGGGCACGGACATAGACAGGCCGGCGGGCATGGGGTCACTTCGGCTGGAGGGCGAGTGGTCAGTCCGGCTGGCGGGCAAGTGGTCAGTCCGGCTGGCGGGTATGTGGTCACTCCGTTTGGTCGGCGTGTTGCCTCTCCGGGCAGCAAGAAACTGGCTAGCGGGCGTGTGGTCGCCCCTACTGGGAGACAGGCTTGCGGACGTGTGGTCGCCCCTACTGGGAGACAGGCCTGCGGGCGCGTGGGTGCTCCTCCGACCAGACGCAGGTGCAGACTTCGGAGGTTTATACTGCGCTGACGGAGGGAGTTTCATCGCGGCACCGGTAGCAGATTTGGGCCGCTTCCTCGGTAGTTGCGCCGCCGCGGGAGGAGAACACCAGTGTTTGGACGTTGACGCTACATTGTGGGGAGTTCTCATATGCCGGCTGAAGCACGTCGATCTACGAGATGTCTGTAAATCCGATCTTCTGAAGGTCTCCACTTCTTCTTCCGTAAGATTAGACGTCTGGCGAGAGAGCTTCTCCCGCAGAGACTTGAAGCGGATGACCAGGAGTTTCTCACTCACGTCCATCACCCTCAACACGTACGCGCTCTCCGCGTTCAGCATGTGTTTCCTGTGGTCCAGCAGACGGTCCTCTTTCGTGTTCAGCCGGAGCGCGGACAGGGTGAAGTTGTCCTTTCTCACCCCTTTCCGGCGGCCGGTTGGATCCACACTCTCTTCCCCCATCGTTTCTGACACCACGGCGTCCTTGGGGAAATCTGGAAAGGACGTAAACACTCTCGTTAAAACACTGAAGTACTCCTTATGACACAATACGGATTGTGAGTAAAGTGGGCTCAAAGTACCTCTGGCACTGGTGATCAACCAGCCTGACATCAACAAACAAACCCATAACAATTAACGTACTAACTACAGTAATTGCACTGTGTAGAAGAGGACCTTTTAGTCCAGAGTACTTGTTAGGCTGACATTTCTAGACGAATGAAAGAATCAATGGTTTTCTGAATGGACGGCTGAGGCAGGAAATGTGAGTTTATTCTGACTCCACTAATACAAAGCCCTGGTAGGACATTTCGTCAGGGCTTTATTTGAAGCACGTTGTTGCTTCCTACATATTTCCACAAATCCGTGATGACTGCAATGAGATTACAGGCAGTGGGCCATGTCGCACTCTTGTTCTGTCTGCAGGACCCGTGTCTAAAGCAGTGACTGTGTACACAGGAAGCCCTGATCTGTGCACAATGTGTACACAAAAATTCCTAACAAGTGCACAACGTGTACACAAGAATCCCTTTACCTGTGCACACATCGCCACACCTCGCAGCCCCTAGCCTTGTGTGCAGGCATTCGGGCGGGTGGGGGTTTTGGTACTGCGCTTTGTAGAATTTTTAACGCGTTCTTTTGCCGGTCATCGTACAACCGCCCAGAGAAGGTTTGTACCAGCCATGGACCTTCTCTGGTCGCCTGGTTGTAGGATGGCCGGCAAAAGAACGCGTTAAAAATTCTGCAAAACACAGAGAGGCCAGGAGGCCTGCACAGGAGGCTAGCAGCCCCCGGCCCTCTCCTGACAGTTGTTATTTGTAAGGGCTGACACAGGTTTGCAGGGAACAATACCCGTGAACCGTGCTGTTTGATCAAGACTCGCATAACTTTTAAACATCGTGACGTGCGTCCCGGCAACATGAATACTCTAGGAGGAAATCACATACAGAGACTGCATGGCAGAAACCGGGAACTGACAATGAATCCATCCAGCCGTATATGAGTGGAAAATAAGCAGCTTTACCTGCAGTTGTCGTTTGAATGCTAGCCGTCAGTATGTATTTAGATATGTGACTGTGTATGACAGTCCCTCTGACTTGCTGACGTAAGTGACCGTAACTATGTGCGATTACGATTACATATCCGCTGTGAGCTCTATGACAGTATTTGTGTTTTGTGGTATTTTTAGTGTTGGTGTACGTGTTTGTTTGTTGTTTGTGTGTGTGCGCGTGCGCGCAAGTATGTTCCTCTGTAGTTATTGAGTATGAATATGAGTAGTTAAATAGGTGAGATGTCTATGGTGGAAGCTAATCTAAGCTGTACCATGTCATGTCATTATTAGCTGTGAGTCGGTGAGGACACGACATGTAATATCTCTGTTATATGGGACCCAAAAGCTGAAACGAAGACAAAAATGCGACCACATACGCGTGTCTATAAGCACATATTATAAGATAGATGACGCTTTTGGCCTCATATTCAGCCTAGTGTACTTATGTTATCACCACCACAACCAAAGCAAAGCAGATAACACACAAGCAACCGAACAGACTGGTCACTTCGAACTCTTACATCAGCACGCGTATATATGGCACATTGCAAGGTACAATGTATACAGATAGGATATATGACAGTGTCTACATGTATGAGTCAACGTGTCGTGTCAGGTAAGGTTCAGGGATGATAGTTACCGTGATCAGGACAGGTCCGTTACGGCGGGTGAGATGCAGTACCGGGAAGAGGTCCGGTGTGTGTTCGGCGCAGGCAGGTAGCCGGCCCGGCCGTGTTCCCCTGTCTTCCCCTGCACTGTCCGCCTCTGTACCTGTAGCTCCCTGTGGCTCACCGGTCCCGTCAGTTTCTCCACGTTACCATGGCGACCTGACAGGAAAGGCGGAGCCGCTGTTCTATCTAGCTGTCAATCACAGGGCAAGCTGGCCCCTGATTGGCTGTCCGTGGGTGTGTTCTATGACGTAACCGTCGTCCTTGGTGTCGCCTGTCTACAGCCTGCCTAGCTGACACTTCCAGCCGGCTTTAACAGACTAGCGAACGGGCAAAGTAAACCGTTCCGGCCGGTAGCGCGGAGACCGACTATTCAACAAGCCGGCCCCTTTTCAGTCTCTAAGTAGGGCCGCGTTTCCGCACATTCAGCCACTTTGTATTCATGATAGAGGCATAAATTATTAAGGTGTTCCGCTACCACAACAATAACCTTATTTGCAGGTGGATATTTGTCACTAAAGCATTAAGCCATAATTTTCCGCCCTGGTCATACAAGAACGTGGTATATTCATCACCATAGTAACTGCCGTGTCATATTAGTTGCGGTGCACTTAAAAGGAGACATTATTCTCTCCTGTGTTAAACTTGTGACATTAGGCAAATAAAACACAACCAGGCAGATGGCGTTATGATTACATACACGTCCGCCCAGGAAAGAATTCACGGTCACAAAAGTCATAGCCGTATCAATGTTTGGTTCTCACAGCTTTCAAAAGCGGACTCAAAGTCCATTAAATACTTTCAACGTGAAGTTGTAAATCTTGATAAATCGTGCCACTGTTCTTGACATATTAGATTGGGAGGCGTTGTTGTAATATTGACTCACGATAAACATACGACTTGTCTCGGCTTGGAGCGGCATGCTACTTTGTGTAAACAGGGCGCTGTTAAAAGTCGTTCCAGACCTGATGCGCTTTCCCAGCGCTCACAATACAGCACATGACATGATACAATCCATTACACCTTCGCGGACAGACGGCCGTACGCTACAACACTGTTAGACAGGGATAGGGTATCCGGGTTCCTGTTTTAGTGTGTTACCACAACACGGCTATATTACCACAATTATAAAGGGAACAATGTCAAGCCAATTCATTGGGTTAACAAATGTTTAGAACAGTAAAATGTTTGAACTTTATTCGTACACAAGGATTATACAGAGATCAAATTTTCAACTACCACTGTCGCCTTCATCAGGATAATGAATGGCCAGTCACTTCAAAACCTTGTGTTGGAATAAAGTTCAACATTTTACTATGATTACCAACACAGATAAACTTTCATGATAAAATGTTTAGAATGTCTTACGTACTTTTATGTCGAGGTTCATATAGATGCATATGGAATCCAGGTAAGGGTGCCGATCTGATGATTTCCACATACCCGGGTTTGGCCAAAGAAAACAAGTTCCTCCGGATATAAATTGTTAAAGAAATATGCCAGAACACATATGATGTCTGTGTTTAAAAACTAACATAATATATTTCTAACCTACAAATTACCAACAAGAAGTAATGTGTACGTGACCACACAAAGAAGCTCCATCACATATATATTCATATGTACATATTTACCGTGACACATTGCTTCTTGTTGATAATATGTACTTATATTCATGTACACATTACCAACAAAAAGCAATGTGTACATGGATATATGATTGTGCACAACGGAGCTTCTTTGTGTGGTCACGGTGTTACATGGGCTCCTTGTGTGGCACCCAACAATCGATCCATTTTACGTCAACAAGTGTTTTTTAAAGTTTCAAAGGTCATATTTAATGTATGTGAAGATGTTTGTACATGTATGTACGGGGGTTCAAGGGCTTTGAGGTTATCGGCGCACGGCACAACAAAGTATTCAATTACAGAATTTTAGTCATAATAAAAAAGATCTCAAGACTTTGTACTTGTGCAGGTTCGTGCCTGACCTCTTTAAATTCTTACCAGGAATGATGAAAATCACATACGTGGAAATTAGGGCACAAGCCGAAAAGATTATGGTAATAGCGAAATATATGCGGAATAGATCGCCATGGGTTTCTATAAGAAATCCCAAATCGTAGCTATCTTACTGATAAATTTCTGAAGAAGTCACAAGACTAGTTTATTTTGCCGTTAAACCCTTGTTTTACGTACAAAATCGAGAACCAACCGGTCCAAAAAGAGAGACACCCTACGGCTGACTTAGTACTGCAACCGAATCTCTTTACGAAGATTGTGTTTCGTTTATAACTGCAGTTACAGTGCCCCAAAGTGCCAGTTTTTATCACATAACCCCGTGACACTGTATTACACATTTTCCTATGTACAAAGAATTGAGTTATCGATTACAGGAAAGTCTATTGTGTTTTAGATCGACAATCGGTTATGCTGTGTTGTATGAGTATCATCAGGGCATGTCAAGTTTAAACTTTGACCTTTTATTACGGGGCGCACGGAAAAGGTCACGTCATTCCATACCCTGATTACATTATAACAATACCACGGCAAAATATAGCCGCCTGTCGATCTAACACGCAATAGGCTTTCCTATAGCTTAAACGCCTTCTTTAAACCCACTTTGTATAGAAAATGGTTTGGTACAGTGTTTTTAGTTTGTATGATACACTGTATCGTCACTTTTGGGCGCATTTTAACAGCGTAAATACATTTACGAAGCACTATAGCACATAACATGCTGCAGTACCTCAGCAAACAGGAAGGTGACTCTTTTGAACCGTGCCGCCGACTTCAGAATATCCAAGATGGTGGAGTGAAGTGTTGTTTACGTTCCATCGCTTAGAAAATAGGTGGGCTTTCCTGACGTTGATGTCCATAGAACATGTAAATATCAGTCTACATCGATGAACAAGGTAATGTGCTATTTTATGGCCTGCATTAAGTCAACTGTATGGCGTTTGACTAAGGTCGAAAGCGACGAAACCTCGAAGGGGGAGGGGGGCTTGTTTAGTTCGGCGAATATTTTCCAAAATAATAAGTAACATTTACCAAGGCCAATAGTAAAGTTTGCTCGCAGGAACTACTACGGCCTCTTTATGCGCCTTCAGGCTTCTTATAATCTCCAACAGATTGAACGTTATATTATATTATATGAATATAATTTGGGGATATATATAACGTTATATATATTGTCCACTTGTCCATACTTGGGTTACATATTATACAATACAATACAATACAATACAATGCAATGAAAACCAGAAGAAAATGCAGCAGGGTTTTTTTTTTTGTGAACTGCTAAGATTGATAAAACACAGTAGAACTGCTAAGATTATTTTTGTTACAACACGTAATCATATCAGTTATACTGTCGAATAAAATAGCATTATGCCATATTAATTTAATAGAAGGACCGTGATTACTACGTAGTAACGTTATGTCTGAAAATGCATTACTTCAAACTCAAAGTTTCCATTTTTTTGTCACATCAAACAGACATTTTGAGCATGACATCATTTGGCTGGAAGAGGAAAGTCGGGGAAAACGTCACCAAACCTTCATCAGCTTTCAGTCCTGGGGAACAGCTGGAGAATGAACATGAAGTAAGTAATGTGGTGGTGTCTTTCTAGCAAGGACATACTTGTATAATGTCCTTGCTTGTATAATGTCCTTGCTAGGCCAAGGAGTAAATACTTAGTTGATTTTCAAATATCAATACAATGAAACTATAGCTGAGGAATATCAGTATGATGTATAATGTGGTATGATATTGCATGACACCATTCAGCATAATAATGTATGATTGTTTGTTTGTTTGTTTGTTTGTTTATTTGTTTGAGCCTTTGTTTAATTCGGCCTGCATGGCTGCTTTTCATTGCGGTTGTGATGGTAGAGGGTGGATAAGGGTGACAGACATGATATAGGTTTCATAATTGAAGACATGGTTAGATACTGTATACTTGATATATATTTTAGTGTCATATGGTAAGGTATAATGGTATGATATGGTTTGGTTGATGCTGTTTTAGCGGCCGCACCCGAGAAACGCAGGGTCTGAGTGACCACGCTGGCCACGCCGGCCAGCATCTGTTGTAGATTACATAGAGTAGTGTCGCTTGTCCCCCCTCGTATGGGGGGACCGTTCGTTAGCTATGCTAAACAACAAATAAAGTACTAGTAATTCTTTATTTTAGTCATACTTGATATATATTTTAGTGTCATATGGTAAGGTATAATGGTATGATATGGTTTGGTTGATGCTGTTGCTGATGTAAAATGCTGACATGTTATGACCTGCTATGTTAGGTAGACCCAGATGAAGTAGACTGGCTCCATGCAGTGAAGATCAGAAGACCAGTAGATGGACTGTTGGAGGATCATCTCACCAAGGCAAACAGACTCAAGCAGGAGGGATGTCTCCTGGCTGAAACTCAAAGGTACATGTACATCTGTTTGATTTTTATAAAATACTAAAGAGCTTATAATACTAGGTGCATATGGATCTTAGTGCGGTAAAATTGCAGCTGTGCTTGGATTTCTGATGATTGTCTACCTGCACTGGTACATGTACTTATATAGATACATGTATGTGTATGTGGATATTTCATTTGATGCATTGACTGTTACCACCTAAAAAGTATAGAAGAAATTATGGGCAACAAATTCTGAACAGTTTTTAGTATGATCCATGCTTTCTAAATTCTGAGTGTTAGATGTAACATTTGTCTGGTGCAAGTAATTTTTTGATTTTCCCAAACAGGATATAAGAAAAGAAAGATGGGACTCTTCGATGTCCAAATGTTTAGATATAGTTGAAGATCACATTGTTGAAAAGGCTATAGATAAGTGGATTTAGCTGTGTTTGTATTTATTTCTCCAGATACTGGGAAGCCATCCGTAGATGGGAGGATGCTCTGGAACTCACACCAGATGATGCCACTCTGCATGAGATGAAAGCACAGGTAAGGGATGACAAATCTTTATTATGTTCCATACTGGACTCCTGTTTGAGAACAAGGGGTCAGTCCGTGGTGCTGAACACACCATTCAAGACTTGCCTTATGTCAACACACACTGATAGATGAACTTATATTTATGAATAAAGTTTTATAAAAGTTTTAGGATTTTAAGATTCAGAGTCCAGAGTCTGGACATAGCCCCAGACGCATCTGCAGATAGGGCCTGATGGAAATCCTTCCTGTCGCCTCAAGAACCACAAGGTTCAGAGGAGGATTAAGTGTGTGAGTGAGTGAGTTATACATACTGTCATTAAGGTGTTGTGTTGGTAATTACATGTTTAAAGTTTGTTCCAACACAAGGCATTGTTGTGACCTAGGCTTTTGACCACTAATGCTGATCTTCAAATGTCTTCCATCTCATTACATCACCAGGCGTACATGGAGGTGCATGAAGTCTTCCCAGCAGTCCAAGCAGCGGAGAAAGCCGTGACCTCTGACCCAAGATGGTGGGTGGCGTACCAAACTCTGGGAAGGGCACAGCTTGGACTAGGAGACCTCAAACTGGTCAGTAGCATAACTTTGTCTATGTTGACCATAATAATGATTTGATTTGATCTATTGAAATTGCAACAGTGCAATACACGCGGAACAGAGGCAGCTGTTGCTGGTGTTGTGTCCCGCACATAGAAACGAATACTGGACAATGCTCATTTTCACTTTTTCTATCTATCTATCTATCTATGACGATTTACCACATTTGTGGAAGGATTGACATAACAGGTGACTATCACCTTTACAAGATGTCAAACCTGAGACCAGACTGTAATGTTTGAACCACTCACACCGGGAAGGTCCCCTACTCTTTTCGATAAGTGCGGTGGGTTCTTTTACGTGCGTGGGGTGTGGCTCTCCCAAACACAGGACCTCCATTTAACGTCCTATCCGAGGGACAACCCTAACCGAAGCTAGGTACTCATTTACACCTGAGTGAAGTGAGGAAAGTCGTGTAAAGTGCCTTTCCCAAGGGCACAAGATCGGTGATATGGGCAGGACTTGAGTCTAGTGGGGAAAGTTGTGTTAAGTGCCTTTCCCAAGGGCACAAGATAGGTGGCATATCAGGACTCGAACCCGGGACGTCTTGATTCCGAGTTGCGCATGCTGCTGTTGTGCCACAGGATCCCAAATGGATGCCTGTCCATGTCTTGTAGTTATTTCCATTTGTTGTCTGTAGATTTCTTCATCTTATGGTTTTATTTCCCACACATTTCCAGCAGTATATGACACTTTCACCCGTCATTTCTGATGCTGACAAGGTTTTATAAAGATATGCTAAACAAGTAAATATACCATGATGGTCTAGTCAGCAAAAATAATCTATTATGGCCATGCAAAAATGATCAAGTATATATTAAATAAAAGTTTCTTGTTGTGTTTCTGTTGTGTTTATCTTTTCTAGGCAATTTCCAACTTTTCAAAAGCGATTCATCTCAACCCTGCATGCAGCAAGGAACTCTGGGAAGACGACCTAAAATGGGCGTGCTCCCTGTTGGAGGAAGAGAAAGAACTCGAGAGAAAAGCAGAAGAAGAGGAAACAGACGGGACTGCTGGGGTGTCTGGTGAAATGGACACTGAACATGATGTAAGACTGACTGTTGGACATCATTTTACTGTTGGTAGTGAGGAAACTGTGACAGTTGGTAGAACTAACATGGCAAAAGTGGAGACTGGAAGAGTTGAGTCACATGTGCGATGTAGGGCAGTACTATAGTAGAACAAATAGTTAGGATTATTGGATACAGTTTCTCTACAAATGTATCACATTGTTTGTATCAGTACATGAGTACTAGTGTGTTTATTTAATTTTGGACTGTGATTGGATACATAAATGAAATGCTGTACATGTAGCCTCATGTTGTGTAAGATATAGGAATGGCCAATGGTTAAGAAGTTAGGATGCTGTCAGCTGCGGCAATGCTTTTTGTAAAGAATGTAGAAAGAACAGAAATCAGTAGCTTACCCAGTGAACATTTGTAAAGTGAATGTAAACTCCACCAATGGGCATACTTTGTACATAATACAGGTTGTATTTTCAGGATGACTACTGGTACCCACAGCTTCCTGATGCTTCTACTGATGGTGAGGTACCTGGTACAGAAGACACAGACACACCTGGTATAGAAGACAAAGACAGACCTGTACTGGACAGGTATCACACACACCTGGGCAGGTTCCAGAACAGGTGTAGGACAAGAACAGACAGATGACAGCAGCAGTGATGCCACCAACACATCACTTCATAACACTGTAAATGGATAAACTTTAATGTTTCATTTTCGCCCTTGTTGGTTTTATTTGAGCTCTCCACTGTGAATTCATGACAGAGTAAATATGCTATACTTGTATGGATTTTGTACTTACAGAATTGCTTCAACTGCAAATATGATGACTTTGTTCATCTATTCAGATTGTCGTGTTGTTGATTTTATGTAGCCTGTGTTTACACTAGTCAGTCTGCAACTGTTTCCCCAAGGGGGGCGGCAAACTTCTGGGCAAGTGGCCACCAGGAGCGCGATTTCTTAGTCAGGCTAGATTATTAGACCAGGGATTTAGCCATTTTTACGATAACGTTGTTACCAGTTGTTAAGTGATCACACACTGTTTACATAGAGAATGTAGAGCGTAGAGACAATATAGAGCGTAATAGTTGTAGTCTACGTAAAGCGTAACCATATGATGCCTGGATTTAGGCGGAGCAAGCTTGTCCGAATGCAACATAACACATGTATAACGTTAGCCGCAGCCGTTGTGAATTTGGAGTAGAGCGTTTACAATTACAATACGACTTACAATACGACCTCTAATCCCCTCAAAAGCATACCTATTTTTTTCGTAGGGTTTGTCGAACTTATACAAGTTCCTGTATTTCATGGACGCTCAAAAAGCGAGTGCGCGTGTGGTGTTCACCACACTATGTGTTTAACATTGTGCGGATGGCGTTCAGCACCAAGGACAGGCACCGTTTGCACGTAAACTTGTTGGGAAGAATGCCTGCAAGCCTGGGGCGTAATCGGCCGTTTTGATATTACATAATGGTTAAATGGTTCATATACAACAGCATATAGCGTATGTAATCGCTGCAGTCTATGAAAAGCGTAAAATAAGCTATATTATCATATAGCCGGACGGCGCGGACCAATCAGAGGCCCGGATACCCGTGCTGTTATTTCCCGATAACAGCACATGTGGTGTTATGGCGGAATAACAGCACATGTCGTGTTATGGCTGATACCATTATGTTATAGGGTATAGGGGCATGCGACTCTTTCTGTAAACCTTTGTAGCATTTTTCTGTCCAATAAACTTTTTTGTTTAGCTTCATTTAAACTACAATTTGCATTAAATGAAATTATCCATATTTGTTTTAAAGCGTATAATATATTCGAATGTATTTTTATGTATGTATATATATTAAAGCTGTTGTATTTCAAACAGGAATTGTGTTGATTGACAGTTTGGATAGGCTATATGATAATAATTTTAATGCACTGCCTTTTCCTCGTTGTATATGGTGTCATAACTGCATGGGCAGCTGCCATAACCACCTCATAAACCACCTCGTTCGCTTCGCTCACACGGTGGTTTATTCGGTGGTTATGGCAGCTGCTCATGCAGTTATGACACCATATACAACTCGGGGCAGTGCATTAACCCTTTATTATTGGTGCCTGGATTTTCATGAAGGCGGAATCAGCTTGCCCGAATGCAACGTAACATGTAGCCGCTGCCATTGTAAATTTATCGTGGACCGTTGACAGTTCCACTCCTACCTTCCTCAAGTGCATGCCATTTTTTTCTGTAAGGTTTGGCCAGCTTTAACAAGTCCCTGTACTTTACGGACGCTCAAAAAGCGAGCGCGCGCGTGTTGTTTTCACCGTACATACTGTGTGTTTTACTATGAGGATGGCGTTCAGCACCAAGGACAGGTACCGTTTGCATTAGAAACGTGGTGCCGAGGCTGATTGAATTAGCAGATTCCGGCCACTATACTTTGACCAAATTGAATACTTATTGTTGCTGACACTGCCTGTGTGTTATTTTGACAGAAACTAGTCCGAAATATTGAGAAGAGAGCCATTATTTTTCTGTGGGGATTGATTTTTGGCGGTAAAGTAGTTGTGGTTATCATGGTATACTAGACCAGCTGTTGTACACCGCTGTGTAAAAGTCACAGTGGTACGGTCCACTCAGTCTGCGTCTGTCGCAGCCACGCGGGGAAGACCAGGAATTATTTGTCAAGTCTTTGGTAAATTTTCGGCTTCCAGTTCGAAAAATCTTCATTCTAACTTGTAGAAGAAATCTTTGGGGATGGTTCTACGGTGGAGTTGTGCCGTTTTCTGAATTTTGGGCGAAGAAATTGCGGATTTCCTGACGTGGTGGATTTTGGAGAAGACGAGAAAATGGCGCCCGAAGGATGGCGGCGTGGTCGTGGGGAGGGCAGAGTTTTCACAAGGTAAGGCAATAAGCCGTGCCGTAGAATTTATTCACCACAAACTGATAACAACACGTTCCGGTATATTCGTGGTAAATTTGTGTGATTTTGAGAATGCAACACGATAGTTTGTGTAGTTTTGGGTCGTTGTTGTTTCAATATATCTCACTGTGAAATTCAATCTTCACGTCTTCTCCCAGAATATCACAGTTAGGTTTTCCTACTCTTGAGTTAAAGTTTCAAGAGAAAAGAAGGGACGTTTGTTTCTGTATAGCAACCTGGTCTAATAATTTTGCCCCTTGTCTGTGAAACAAAGGAAACACGGGTAGAATATTTGTGGGAATTTCCCTCATGGAAAACACTAGAAATTTGCCTATCAATATGCATGCAACATTTCTCTTCATTTGGCTAGGTATTTCAGACTGGGATAAAATGACAAAGAAACACCACTTTAACTTGTTGTTTCTTGATTTTGCCAGCCTTTTTTCTGATTAAAAAAACGTAACATTCAGGTTTTGTGTCAACCCCAAATTCCTCATTTTTGTCCTAAAGTCTGTTTTTGAAGCTTCAATAATTTTAGGTATTGAATAGGAATTCTGTAATGTTGTTACATGCATCTGATTTGTTTTTTTGTTTAATCGTAGAACCAACTAATTAAACATCAAACATTCTCAAGTTTATGAAACCAAAAATAAACCTCTAAATTTTATGTACATGTGTAAGGTTAGTGTAATATTCACATATATGACATTGTGTTAAATTAAACCAACTGTACAGATTACCCTTGAGTGTCTATAAATGTATAGCAAGTCTTAAAAGTTGTTATATGACAAGTCTCCTCCTGGGTACAATTTTTCTCATCAGTACCCTAAATTGATTATCCTTTATACAGTTAGGTGATTCAAGTGTTAGCTGTATGTTTTAAACATGACTTTTAAGCTCTTCAAGAATGACATCAAAAGTTTCTGGTCTACTAGTAGTTGTTAAGCTTTTTATTGTCTGTGTATGACAGGGCTGATAACACCTTGTAACTTGACCTTGTTTTCATGTGATTCTGTAGTTAGCTGTGTGCTGAGGGTTTGCCAGCTCTGCAAGTGTTCCTGTCCAGATGAGATCAGACTTGTGATGGCAGAGGCACCAGGTGATCAGATACAGGAGTATCGGGCCAGGTGAGGAAAATTGGAACTCTGCATTTTGCGTACCATTTACTTGA